TCCCCAGCCTGTGTCAGTGCTTTGAACACTGAGAAAATCTTTTCTTTTTCTCCCATATAAAAGGCAACTTAAAGCTACATTTTCTGTGGAGCTGGTCCTGTAGTAATGCACTGGAGTACTCTAAGGTGCAAGAGGGGGTGCCTGAAAATGGAATATCAAGGGCCTAGGGACACTATTACAGTGGGAGTTCAGGTGTTCACTCAGTGCAATGAGTCTGTTTGGGGGTCTAAGACTGGGAGATTTTCTTTCACAGTGTACAGGGAATGAACAGCTCCCAGCTAAGGAAGCAGAGCTTTGAATTTATGCTGAAGAGAGTTTTCTTGGTGATAGGAGCAACAAGGAGCTTAGCATGGGTACCAAGCCTGCCTGTGGCTTGCTAAATAGTTTGAGCTGAAGGGTGGCACAGTAGAAGGCCTTTGGTTAACATCAATCCTCCACTCTTTTCTGAGATTAAATCCAGCCTGCATGAAATTTGTTGGCAGTGGTTTCCCACTTAGCAATAACCAGACCATATTGAGACAAAATATTCAAAATATATAGCAATGTGGGACTTGGAAAAGTATCAGCACAAAATTATGCCTTCCAGGATAGAAAACCAATGGATGTGCTGGAGCTGATTAGCATCGTTTTTAATGAATGAGACCCTGCTGTATTTCTTGTTTGGCATTGGCCTACCGAAGAGTATAACCTGTCTTAACATCTTCTTTAAGTGATTCAGTGAAATTTCTAGGTAATGGATTAAGAGAGTCATTAATAAATTGGGCTATAAAAGTCTGGGTGAAAGTAACCATCTCCTACTGACAATGTGCTGAATAAAGCAGCTGTGATGCTCAGGTAATTGGCAAACAGGCAAACAGTGTCGTTGCTACCTGGGATATGATTCTAGTCAAGGAGAAAATAGGGTTCTTTTAATTAAAACAATTTGTGCAACATCATTTCACTTAAAATTGTCCATGGCTTTTTAAAGAAGATTGAAAACAGTCTAATAGGGGCCTGATTTGGGTCCTACAGCAGGAATAACGAAGCTGATAAAGGGAGTTTTATAGTGCATATGTGACAGGGCTAAAATATGGGTGTTAACCTTGGCAGCAGAAGTTAATGAGCAGTTTGATACTTTATAGAGGTTCTATTTCTCCAGCTGCAATTGTGTGAGTGCTTGTGCTGGTATTGGCAGGGATAGAGTTAATTTTCTTCACAGTAGCTTGTATAGGGCTGTGTTTCATATTTGTGCTGGAAACAGTGTTGATAACACAAGGATGTTTTAGTTATTGCTGAGCAGTGCTTATGCACCATCAAGGCTTTTTCTGCCTCTCACACCACCCCCCCAGTGAGTAGACTGAGAGGCACGAGTTGTTGGGAGGCAACACAGCCAGGATAGCTGACCCCATCTGACCCAAGGTATATTCCATACCATACTTTGTCATGCTCAACCTATAAAGTAGTTGGAAGAAGAAGGAAGGGAGGGACATTTGGAGTGATGGCATTTGTCTTCTCCAGTAAGTTTTATGTGTGATGAAGCCTGGCTTTCCTGGAGCTGGCTGAACACCCACCTGCTGGTGGGAAGTGGTGAATGAATTCCTTGTTTTGCTTTAACTGTTAAATTGTCTTTATCTTAACCCATGAGTTTTCTCATTGTTATTCTTCTGATTCTCTCCCCCATCACACTGGGGAGGAGCGAGCAAGCACTGTGTGGGGCTTAGTTGCTGGCTGGGGTTAAACCATGATGTTCTGCCCAACATGGGGCATGAGGATTTTGAAATAAGGATAGTAATTGGGAGAGGTAATGGGCAAAACATGGACTGAACATCACTACAGCGTGCAATGATTCTGGGGAATTTCTGTTCCAGCTGTGATGGGATGAGGGGTGGATCAACCTGCCATACTGTTCAGAGCTCTTTCTTTCTGCCAGGCATTGGATGTGCATCTGCATTTCCCTTAAGTTGTCTTGAAATAATGGTTGTAATCAGCAGCCCCATGTTCCAGACAATCAGGTCCTTGCATACATGTGCTCAGGTGCTTTCTACACCCATAGCCTAGGTAACAATACAAACCAGGAGCTTCTATCTAAGGGAGTATTTGGCTTTTATACAAATCTAGCACGCTTCCCTAAATTCATGGTAGAATGTAGTTTTGACCATGTTTGCAAATAGCTTTGTGGAAAGAACTTTATGTGCATATAGCTGTCTTAACTCCAACACATTTCACAAATAATACACACAAAATAACTGCTTCAGCTGCTGCACCAGCATAGCTACCCTCTAGTGAAGTGTTTACCTGACCATGGCCAGCAACTGGATTTTATGAAGGAAGTGGAAAATTCAGCAGAGTACAGCAGCTAAAAATGTGAGCCATGAGATAAAAAATGAGGATGCAGTGATCAGTACTTTTGTCCTGCAGTGTGAAACAGTGCCAGCTTGAATTCAATGGTACCTCAATCGATGAAAGAGTGAGAATCCTGAATACTAAATGCGCATGGACCATGAATATATTTGGTATGATGTTCAAAACCAGTAGGGGAACCGGGTGGGAATGTGAAAACAGAATTACTCATAGCATCTAAAGTGAGTATACTTCAAACATCACTTAGCATCTAGCCTAGACAAAGACAGGCATGTTTAAAATGGTTTTATCTGTTTGTGGTTAACCACAGTTGTTAATTGTGGGTTTTCCCAGTGCACATCCATTTGCAGCTTTGCTGGGCCTGGAAGGTGCCTTTGTAAAGGAACTGCCAATTAAGGAAGGAAAACTTGTCAATGAAGATAATGATCAATACTCATTGATGCATCTAAATAACACCCAGTCTCCGCATTAGAAGGGGAGAGGAGTCTTTGTTGCTCTCCCATTCTTGTGGAATGGATTTGAGCAGGCAAATGACATCGTGGGAGGAGGAATTGTGTGAAATGGAGTGACACAAGAAAAACTAAAGGGGTGAAGTGGAAGACTACAGAAAAATGCAGAGACGCCCAGGTGAAAGAAAGGAAGCTGGCAAACTGCAGACATCTGAACTCCCTTATACAGAGAAAATGGAAACAAATAAAATCCTGCCTTATGCTGCCCCTTGTAATTTTCCAGAAATATTCAGTAATTTTCCCTGGAGTCCCATGCTGACAGCTGGCAGATGCTGAATGAGAGAAGGTCCCTAGAATGAGGATGGCAAGGTCACATCTGGAACGCCTGTGAAGATACTGATGCAGTGAATCACAAGCAACTTTTGCTGCCACGTAGTGGCAGCGAGAAAAGCTGCCATATGACAGATCTTTGTAGTCGTTGTCCGAAGATGATGTCTTCGTATTTTTATTAATGATGTTCTCTGGTAACAAGTGTGCTAATTTTAGGATGTTAGAATCACAGAGGAAGGGGAAGACCTTAAGCAATACTGTTTCTGCAGACTTAACTTAGTGTGCGAGTAACTCCTTATAAACTACATAGCATTCTCCTATGCCATAGCTTTATTTAAAAGTGTTGCTAAGAAGGTGTTTAAAAGCTTGTATTTCAGAGACTGTGTATGAATAGTACCTCTCACTGCCGTGGTTGCTATAGTAAACCCTTGTTCTTACTTGAACACTACAATAAATAATACTTTAAAACTGGAGAGGAAAGTAAAAAGAAAAAACTCTATTAGGCGTTCCATGAGCCACTTGAAATTACTGATCATTTTTCATGTTTTGCAAGTATGGAATGCTTTGTGCAGCTATAGAATAGCAACACCTGCATAATTGTGATGTTTTCTCTGCATAAGTTGTTCCTCAAAACTTCTCAGGATACGATGTGGTTCAGAGCACCTCTGTCAATAAGGAAAAGAGCAATGAGTGGGATTAAAATTAGCTGTTTTCTTAAAATTATATACATTTAAGACCCAGTTTCAGAGTAGAAGAGGATACGAAGGGTAGAAGTGATCCTTGAAATGATCCATGCTGTAACTGCTGCCAGTGGAGTTGGACTGGAGGTAAATTTTCCAATCTTTTCCCTTGGTGTTAAAATGTAGTAGTTCACAAGCATTGCAGTTAAAGATTTCACCCATGCTGATGGCAGCCCTAGAGTACTACAGATAATGCTGTCCAGGAGAGAAAGTACATGCTGGGGAGGGTAACAAGACAGAGGATGCTGAGCAGCTGGGAACTATAGCAGCTCCTTTCTACCTGGGTGTGAAAAGGAAGAGAAAGAACCTTGAAGGCCAGATGGACTCTTTGAGGGCTGAGAGAAATGTCCCATACATAATGATAAACAGCTGTGAGGCAAAAGACTTGCAGGCCCCTGAGGGGAAGGAGAAGGAAGAGTGAGGTTAACAGAAGTAGATTATGTTATCATAGTAAAGCAGTGAAAGAGATTGATAAATGAAATGCTGGGTTCAGAGTTACTGGCATGAGGCAAATGGTATTTATATATAAAGCACTGGAGTTGGAATAAGCTGGTTTGGGCCTATTTTGTCCTTTGATCAGACTGCACATGTCCTCAGTCCTCTGTCTCGTCTTCCCAGCTGCATGCTGGGGCTAGTGCTTTCTTTTGCAGGGCTTTTGACAGAGCAAACGTACTATTGAGCTGTTCAGATGATGCGGCAACATGAGCTATAGCAGAAGACATCTTTTGTGGACTGCTGCTCACTCAAGGAGTGGGAGACATTTATTCCTCACCAGCTAAGATGCTTCTCATGGATCTGCATCCTCATTAGCAGACAGCATCTTTTTTTTCTTGTAATTAGCTGACAGTTCAATAGGTAGCTCCAGTCTCTTTTACACCTGGAAAACAATCAACATGGAAATCATAGAAGCACATGTCTTCCCTTCCTACTTTAAAGCAGTCTGAGTTACATTGTTAAACACATAATACACAACAACTGTGTGTTAGAGCTCTCCAGAACATGTGTGAAATAATGTTGGTTTGGGTTTTTTTTCCCTTTCCTTTCTTAATTGGCTTCAGTTTGAAACGTACTTTAGCTTCTCTGACTTCTGTATTAGCCTCAACGCACCAGTCATGGATCAGGCCATAAGGAACTGTTTCCAGCCACCTGAACAGTGGAAACGGGAAACGAGGGCAGCTGGAGGGGGGAGCGTGCACCAGCTGGCCCTGCTCCTGAGGCATTATAACTGGATTCTTTGGGGTAGAAGGGTGTGAGGTCTCAGGTCATTTCCTGCCAGGTTTGCTCTGAATGGGAGGGGGATATGTAATTGTGCTGTCTCCTTGTACCATTAGTGTCAAGACTCATTAGGAACTCAATCTACTCAGTGGCAGTAGGCATACAAAAGAAAGAACTAGCCAAAGTCTGCAGACTGCAGAGCAGGAGTTGGTGGAGGGAGCAATTGTAAATTCCCGTCTGGGTAATTAGAGTCAGCAGGGAATCAGATTGGCTACGGCAGGGCTTTCATTTTTCCCCTTGCTGTTTTAACGGGATTGGCAGGTGCTGCTTTATTCCAGGGGTGAGGTGATGTGCCTGTGTCATAATTCACAATGAGAAATGATCATCAATTTGCTACCATGCTCCTGGGGTGAGCTGAGCAGGCAAACTGTGATTACTATTGTTATCAGTACCTTGTTAGTATGGAGCAGGAGATTGTTGTGGGCAGTTGTCTCTGGAAGGGGTGGGATCTGTACTCACAAAAAGCATGCTCCTGGCAGCTTCGCTACATTTGGAAAGTTGGGCTATTTCATGCCCTTTACACTGGGATCTATTTGGGATCACTCAAAAGGATGTGAAGGACCTGGAAAATGTATCTTATGATTAAAAATTGGCAGCATATTGGCATGCTTTATCAACAGGGAGTTACAACACAATAAACAAAAATGGACCCTCTTTCTTCAAAAACACTGCTTACTACTTATCTGTTTGCCTAGTGAGAGGTGGAAAGGGACATAGTCAAGCTATCCTGTTTGCATGCAATGCAGTTTAAAGTCTCAATCAAGATGTTGTGAAATCAACAGTCAGATTCACATTGAGTTCTCTGGATTCTTGCTCAGACCAATGGGCTTGACAGAATAATTAAAAGGTGCAACAATAAGAAATGTGGTTTCTGGGAAGAAAGGTTTTCTTAACACAGCACTTGTTCATGAAAGTTCCGAGAGAGAGAGAGAGAGAGAGATCCATAACAGATTGACTCCATTTACTGGCAAACCTTCTTCTTTCTAGCTCTATCCATCAATAGTCAAATGATGATGCACAACAGTATAAAATGCAGTTCACTTCTCTGCAACTGTGTGGTCCGGGTGCTAAGCTCCTGGATTTCCAAAGAGTTATTATTTACCACTGGGAAAAAAAAAACAAAATCCTACTGCAGGCAGTGGACTACTTTCCTGAGTGAAATATACAGGACTGGATCCACAAGGAGGAAATAAGTGCACTGGCAAACCATCTTGTTTTCTGGGCACTCTTTGGGCACAATTGTGGGTAAATTGTTGGACAGGAAATGATATTTCTGTCCAGAGGAATACACCAACATTGCAAAAAAGTTTTGCTCTCCATGAAGCAAAGCTGAGGCCTTTCAAGATGTATTTTATAGAAAATATTAAAGAGAAGTGAAAGTATCACTCTGAAGAGCTAGTCTTTAGGCACCTGTTGGAGGTGTGAGCGACCATGTTGTGTCCTTGGTTTCCCCTGTTCTGGGAGAGTACTCTGCTGGCCAAGCTGTTCTGAGGTGGTACTTTGGACTCTGGCCAGATTCTCCCAAACCTAAGGTGGAACTATGTCTTACTAGAGGCCTAATGTGGCCAGTATGTACCCGTGAAAATTTTCAGCTTCAGTAATTCAGTACTTTCCCACTAAAAGAGCAAATTCATCTAAAAGGATAAGGGAAAGAAGAGGTCCCTGCCAGCTCTACCCTTCAGGCTGCAGATACATTTTAAGAGCCTATTTGGAATGCAAACAATAAGAGATGTGTGTTTCCCTCAGTGACTTTCCTTTGAGCCTCTGTGCATCTCTTCAGCATGTTGGGTTACTGGCAGAATAAGAAACTAATACGTGAAAACCTTCCTCTCATCTCCAGGTTCCTGTCTGGAATGAATCAGCTCAGATCTATAAGCTGCTTAGACCTTCCAAGCACTGTAGCTTAAATAATGGCAATAGAAGCTTTGTTAGCTCCTGATTTTTATAGGTAAGTGTCTCTCAGTCAGAAGCTGACAATCCATACAGATATATGTGTTACTGCAAATTATTTCTCAGGCCCATTTCTCAGGCCCCATTTCTCAGGCTATCGCCCATGCCTGGTAACTCGGAGTTTGGCTGAGCCTCTCCTACCTAAAAAATGCATGCTTGCTTATCCTTTATACCCACCCCTCACTTAATCAACAACTACTTCTCTCAAAACATGGCTGACCCTCTCCCTTCCTACCCATCAGCCATTCTTGCTGGGTCCTCTGTCTAGATGGCTTTAAACCTGATTTGGGATTTGAGTGTTAGTTGGATTAACTCATTAGTGGGGCTCAGTTCTGGCAAGCCTGCTAATCTGTGGCAGTGGTGCATAGCACTGTGACAATATTACACTGAAAATGAGAAATCTAATGAGATTAGCATTTTATCCTTTCAGACAGAGCCTAGGTGTTTGACTGTTCTGCAGATGCTTGGTATGAACCGTAGTAGGTCTAGGAGGAGACTGGTCTGTAACACAGCACCCAAACACATAGGAAGGAGATTGCAGTAGTGCAATTGTAAGATTGAAATAGTGCAATAGAGATTGCAATAGTGCATAAGAAGCATCAGTAGCTTGTTGTAGCAAATAGAAATGTCTCTGTTCCCATCAGCTGGCTTTGTCTCAAAGGCATTTGCACATATGCCCCACAGACTTATCTCTTTTCCTAAGCATGAAGGAGGGCTGATCTGTGTCTGGGGATCACTTTGCAAGTCAATCCTGCCTTTACTAGTGATGACTGGGGAAGGTTTTAGTGGCAGATTTCATGGAGAACAAGGCTGCTGACTTCCAAGTTGTTTTTACGTCACACAGGGATGCAGAGCAAGATATGCTTATCAATGTATGACTACCAGACTGCTCCATTCTAAAATTACACCCACAAGCTTAGTTGCCTGGACAAATTCCAGTTGCACTTTTCCCTCTCAAAAGCATTGTTTTTATTTCAGGTTTAAACACAGAAAAGAGGGAGCCAATATCTGTAGCCTCCTTTGGCTGCAGGGAGAGGGATTGCTCTGCCTGGTTTCTTAGGAACACCTAATAAAGCAAGACAGTACCTAGTGCTGGGTGCATGAGCTTCTCCTGCTCTACCACCCTACTAAAGGTTTGTAGAATTTTGGTAGGTGATAAGGAAGGAACCTGAAGAGTGATGCACCAGGGCTGGGAGTCACTGCTAAGTGCTGTCCTAGCCTGCCACCCAGTGCTGGTTTTTGGCACTCAGTGTGCTCCAGCAATGCAGCTGGTACCTGGACTGGTTCTTCCTGGACCCTGTTGGAATATTCCTTCCTCTGACTTACTGAAACATATATTCAGGTCCTGTTTGAAATAAGCAATGTTTTAAAATGGACTGGCTTCGGAGAAATGTGTGAAAACTTCTTCAGATTCCTTCTTGAGTACTGTGGGATCAGTAGGCAATGGCTCTTGGGTGTTGTGCACTCAGCAGGTGGTGGGCGAGTCTAACTTCTGGGTTGCCTTAAGTGAGCCTTAAGCGAGCCTTAAGCAAGAAGGGAAAGCTATTATTTCTGGTCTTGTTTTTCCAGAACAGCTTAGGAATGATCAGAGCTGCACAATCTCTCAGCATGGCGATGGATCCAAACCAAACGCATCCACAAAATGATGCTAAAGTTGGCAACAGTTTTCTAACTGAGATCAGTGTGTATCATCATGATAACAAACAGCTAGCAGCTAGGGAGAGGTGATAATTTCTAAAGATACCACAAAACTGCTTTAACCCCAAAGGCGCAGGGGAGGAAGGAATATTTTCTTGGAAAAGCAAGAATGGTTAACAGTGTTGTAGATCTGGCTGTTCCAGGGAGATGATGGAAGATGGTGGTGCAGATGACATGTTTTCATTCACATGACTCATGATGTCCACAAAACAATCCTCCTGTTACAAGGCTGAAGTGCAGCTGGTGGAAAAGATGTTATTTTGTTAAAATATATTCTAATACTTTTCACATAAAATCTGGGGTAGATAATTTGGGAAATTGTTTTGATTTTTTTAAGTGTTTGGATTTTGTTTAATTTTGATTGTTTGGGGTGGTTTTAGATGTCTATCATTTCACCATTGCAGAAAAAGTAATAACTAAGTAGTGACACTGACAAAGCAGAAACTGTATGTACAATTGTGAGCTTTAATTGAGTAAAGGAGGTAAAAAGTCTGGCACAGTCTTACAAACTGCTGTTCATCTATGAGCAACAGTCAGTTGTTTGGATTGCAATAGCGCAGACTAAATCTGCCACACCAGTGTTTTATCAGCTAAAGAATTTAATAGAGCAGCAGCCTTTGTGACTGTGTCCTGACATTCAGCCTTGACAATGATGCCTGGATTTATCTAGGTGACCAGATATATTGAGCTTTCACTCTGCAGCGTGGGGGATGGTGGAAGGAATGAGTGGTCATTTTTCTTTAAGTAGTGAGAGAGATTTTGCTGCCAATTGAAAAGGAAGGGAAAGAGAAGAAAAAATGTGATGAGGTGGCCTTGTTCTAAAGTGTGTGAGGTGCACAGAGCAGGCATAATACAGGAAAAGGTGAATATAGAAGGAGCAGATGAAAACTAAAGGTGCATTTACTCTGAAGGGTGCTTAAATGCCATTAATATGTATTGTAAATCTTTGAATGCTCTGTTATTCAAGCATTGTATTAAGTGGAAGGAAAAAACCCACTGCTACTGATTTGCATTTTGTTATTAATTCAGAGGAAAAGAGAGGAAAAATTGTCAGCAAGGTGCCTTAGCTAAGCTTTACATAACAGTAACAACTTACGTATGGGAAGCAAATACTTAAAAAAATGAGCAAAATGAATAGAAATGTAATTCAGAGCAGCACTAGCACTTCATCTTCATGAAATGATATGGGCAAAGCCTGAATTCCAACACTGCAGTGAATTATGGGATGTGGTAGAGCTTGCAGGACTGCAGAAATAAAACATGATCAGTTATAATGTCCCATTAGGAAAAGGTGATGTAATGAATTCTTCTTTCCTGGCCTAGCAATGACATTTAATTTGCTCGGTTATTTACCCCCTGGATAAAATTCATAATCTCTCGTAATATGAAAATATCTCCTTAGATACATCTGTGGGGAATCTCATTAGAAGGTTTTGCTGAATGTATTTTTTGTCAGAGTTGTAAAGGCAGTGAGCTTCATCAACAGGGAAGCTCGACTGTGAATCCCTGGTGCTTATTCCTGATTCTGCTGCTGTATGATGCTGGGTGAACACTCTTGGCTGCTGAGACCCATTCCTGTGATTTTTCCGATTCCATCTGTGACAGGTCAGCAGGTGTAGTAAGGACTAACTTGCTGCCTAAGCCAACCCATCTCCTTCTGGTTGAAATGTGTTGCAGCCATTTAGCCTGTCTGATGGGGAGGTCATTTTCAGTGGGACTGATGATGTATGGCTGTGTAGAAGCCTGAGTAGCAGTAGCTATGGTTAGGAAAGGGCAGATGCCCAGAGCTGCACATAGCAGTTCCTTGAGACAGTGTTACATGTTACATCCCTGAACTCAGCAAGGATTTCTGGATGCTCCAGGAAAGCTGCCATTAATGTGATTGTTCTATTCTTTTGGCTCAGTGCATAGGTTGAGATGTTATAAAGAAGAATAGGCCAATTTTGGAGCTACTACAAATGAAAAAAATTACTCTTTAGTGGCTTGGCTGACATGTTTTTCTGGACTAAAGAAGCAAGAATGAACAAGATACTGTTCAGCAGAGACAAGTGCTTTAAAAGGAAACCTATTTTAATTTGATCTTTTTTAAAATCTTGAAAGGAGTCTTGAGAATTCTTGAAGAGCTCACCTGGAAACACAGCTGGCTTTCTGGTTTAAAAAAACACATACAAATCACTCCAGAATAGGCCTTGCAGTTGCTAGTACTATGGAGCATATCTGTCTCTACTAACAGGTATCTGCTAGTACATCTCTACAGGTCTGTAAATATTCAAGATTTAACTCTAATGAAAAAGATTCTCTCTATATAAAGAAAAGGTAACAGTTTATATGCAAATGTTACAGTGCTATCTCTTTAGTTATCTCAGTTTTTTAAAAAATCAAACCATGGCCTTCAGTCCTATTTAAATATAATAAAATAAAAAAATCACTTTCCAGAGATCCAGAAAGCTGAATATATTTTCCTAGCTGATTGATGCTTTTCCATTTATTTTTAAATGTAATTTTCCCTGGGTAAGGAATTGTTCTCTTGAATGTCAAAAAGGAAATATTTCCCAAATCATAGTCTTGGATTGGCTGACTTGAACCTAATGAGATAGCTCTGCTGGAGAGGGGGTAGGCTGGGGAAGCAGAGAACGGAGTGATTTGTCATGCTGGTTTTCCAGCCATTGCTAAAGAGCTGCTTTGTAATGCCAGCCTGCCAAATCTCCTGGCCACAATCAAATTACTCCCTCTGCATGCACGCACATCCACACCCTCGCCCTTTAGATCTATCACTGACGGAATAGTTATTAAACAAAAACTCAGCCAGGGGAATTATTAATTGCCAGGCTTCATTTCTTTATCAAATGTTGTGGCCCAGAGGGAGAGCTCTTTAAGCTTTCAGAAAGACTGTAGCACATTAATCACTGGAGGGAAGTGGGGTGTGGGCTTGGCATTTGTAATACTTGTCAGATCAGAAATAGGAGATACAAAGATCAAAAGAGATGTTTATGACTTGGAGGTGAAAGGGTTTCACTTTTCTTGTTCTTCTTTGCATCCTCACTTTTTTTTTACTGTTTGTTTTGGGGTTTTGGTTTTGCTCTGTTGGTCTTGTCCCAGCACTTCTACTAATTCTGTTCCTATACCTCTGGCCCACACACTGTCCAGCAAGAGAAAGGCTTTGAGTTCTGGATGCAGCTTTCTGTGTACAGAGTAGCAAACCAGTGGTCACTCCTTTTGAGTGCCAGCTTGTAATGCTGCACTTGATTAGGCACTGATCAGGCAGCAAAAGGCAAAGTTGGGAAGCTGGAGGCACTTAGCTGCTTCTCTGTATAAACTGATTAAATGCTGGTACCTAGCACTGAGCATCGGTCCTAAAAAGCACACCTGATATCCTGGAAGTTTGATACTGAGTTCACTATTACATGCACAAATAGACATACGCATATACTTTTGGAAAATTACTAGAATCACAGTACCTCTAGGCCACGTACATGGCAGATTAAGTCAATATTCTAGGCTGTCTGTGGCTGGAAGCACTTACTGTGTGATTAGTTAAAGCATTAATTAACATTGACCTTGTTCACTTGATCCTGAGACCTTTAGCTTCTGCAGTATGTGAAGAGGTTGTTACTCCTACAGGGTACCTTATGAGGAATGCAATATAAGCTGCTGCTCAGTTGACGTTTTTTTTTCTCATAAAAGGATGATGTATCAGCTGAAGTGAGTAGCCTTTCTTGTAACACTTCAGCAATGCTGCATTTTGCATTCCTGATTCTTGCTCTGTCACATGAAGAAATTCTTCAAACTGCTGCTGTTGAGAGGTGGGTTTGCTAGTACAAGTCATCCCCACTTGTATACATGATCTTCACAGCTGCAGAAAACCCCCTGTTTTCTTGCTAATATCTTAGCTTGAAATACATAATAATTTTAGCAGATATTGTAAACACATGTCCACTTTCAACATCACCTGAGTTAATTATCAAAACAGCCTGCTTCTGCAAAATATACACATCTATATAAAAAAAAAAAACTATTTCAAGAAAGAGTATGAGTGGGTAAAATCAACTTAAAGGTTTTGTAGATAAATACCAGTTTACCCACTTGTAAGATGGCACTTTGAATTTTTTTCCACTAATCTCCTGTCAAAACTAGCCAGGGTTTTGGCTACAGTGAAGGGACCTGCAGGTATCTAGAGCCACCCTGTCTCACAGGAGCACTTGAGGGGAAAACATCTTTAATTCTGTGGTATATACGAGAGGTTGCAGTGAGAGAACGGGCTGTGTGTTAACATGCCTTTATACCGTGGCTGGCACACAGCCTGGTTTTGTACAGCCCTGCTGTTATCTGGAGCCTCTAGGTACTACTGTAATATAAATATTCTGGAAGAATAATAGGGCTATTTGTGGCTCTTGAGGGCAGCTAATGTAGCTGGTATGCAGCATGTTTTTCAAGCCTTCATCTCTTATTTTTCCAAGCATCCAGCAGGAGAGAAGAAACAAACCACATTTTCTGTGCACAGACAGAAGGAATGAGAGGCGGG